GTATAAGTGTACTGTGGTACCCAGTGACATCAGTGTTGGGTGTGGTTACAAGCTGGCTGTGGATAGAGGTGACACAGGTTTAAACTTTCCACTTCCTAGATTTGCTGGAGCTTTTACCACACCTTCAAACTGTTCAGATCACAGCAGATGGAAAAGGCTCCTGTAAAGGCCAGTGAGTGGATGTTGAGTTAAGATTTTAGTTTGTCAAAGTGGAGCTAAACATTAACATTAAAATGGTTCATCCTCTGAAGAGCAGGAATGCAATCAGTAAAGAATTTGACGTATTTCTTGTGTTTAAATTGGCATTTTGGCCTAAAAGTGGGACTAGAGGAAAGCTAAGGTTGTGAATTTAAAATTATTCATCCTCAGGAGAGCATGAATATTTAAAGTAAATCCCACGGCAGTCTGTTTGATGTATTTTTGCCTGGACCAAAGAGTTCATTAATCTCATTTTCAAATTAATCCTTCACAATATATGAGTGTGTATCTATATGGTAATGTGCATGTGCACAGTAAGTGTTGATATATAATAACAGCAATAACAATATAGCAGCTATAAATAAAACTACATTGCTACAGTCTTAACAAGCTCGGTGGTGTGAGAACCAAGAAATAAAATGTCTAATGAGGTGAAATATGACATAAAAAATACATTACAAGCAGCATAAATTAACACACATTGGGAAATGTGTGTCTGTGTGTGAGAGCACATCCACAGCAACTCTGCGCTGTGTGCTGTCCCAGAATTCCTAGCAGCGGCAGCACTCGATGATGGTTATATTAAGGAGGAGTTCATTGCCATCTTCCATATTATGTGTAATAAAATGTAACTAGCGTCATTATTTTTTCATCACAGCCCTCCCACAACTGTCTTCCAACATCTAGGAACATCGCTTTCCTCTCAGCTCCATCCCTCGCTGTTCCTTCGTCACACTGCGAGTCAATTAAAGACCACGAGATAAAATGTAAGGAGGGGGAAAAAAAAAAAAGAGGCTGCGGCAGCTCACTCGGGGCCCAGTGGTGGCTTCTGAGGCTCCTGCCCCACTCCGGGCTGACATCTTGGATCTGGTGATAAAAAAGAAGACAGAAAAGAGGGAAGAAAGAAAGGCATGATGGGGTTGAAGTTAAAGGGTCCTGGTAGCAGCCGGCCTCGCGCCACCGTTTGGAGATTTGGACTGATTTTTTGTTTTGTTTGCCACACTGGGCCTCCTGGGATGGACATAACGTACATTGTTTTGCATCAAGAGGAGAAGGGAAATGTCTCACTGTGGAGCCCTTCTGATCGAAACTGCTACAAACGGAAAAGCTGGATTTTCATTCGCTGCCGGTCGCCAAACATCAACCATCTTGTGAGTCGTGGCTGCGGTCAGTAAAGATGAGTATGTGAGTTTTATTGGCCTGTTTGTAACAGCAACCGCACAAAAGAGAGGGAGAAGAGGCAATGTTAAAAAAGATCCAAAACAACAAAACCTCTTTGATGGAGCTTTTTACTGGGATGCTGAATCAAACACATCTAATAGGATGATATGACCATCAACTATTGTTATTGTTTTTCAGTAAATATCAAATTACATACCCTGCCCAGAGAAATTACTGTTGCAGATACTGTTTGACATGTGCAGGAAGTGTTGAGGGCAGCGAGTATATACATACAGGAGCTGGTGTTAGCTGCAGCTGAGTCAAGTATACAGGTTTGCAGTGCTGAACAATCTCAGCAGGGAGCCTATATTAAAAATCTATGATAATGATAATATGTTTGCAAGGGGAAAAATCCAGTAGTCCTGAAGACTTTGCCACTCTCTGAGTAACATACAAATTGGGGGTAATAAGCACTAAGTCAACTCAAAAACTCAAAAAGATTTTGTGATTCATCTTATGCCAGGATGAAACTCCCACTGATCTGTACCTTTTTTAAAATTCAGTTACTTTTTCAGTTGTAACACAGAACTCTCTGAATTGAACTGATTAAACTCAGTAACAAGAAATGGAACTCTCTGAAAAATCTAATTTACACCTTTAAATGCAAGTGTCTTTCTGGACCGCATTTACATTATCGGAAGAACCGCAAGTCTGAAAATCTGTTGGCAATTCAGGCTGTAATCATTACTGGTGCAGGGAAAGAAAAAGAAAAAAAAAAACCACTGACCTTTGCAGGTAAAGGAAAAACCCTTGAAGGAAGAAATAGTTTCTGAATGGAGGTAAAGACCCATTTGAATGAAACCTTTTCCACCAGTAAAATAAAAAAAATGAAAATGAAACCTAAAAAAATGTACATGTTAAATTCTGAGATAAAACGTCGAAATCATGAGATAAAACACAAACTTAAGAGATAAATGGTCAAAATTAAGTGACAAAAGTATGAAATTAAAGTCATGATTATTAGAGTGAAGTCAAAATTCTGATAAAAAGTCAAAATTAACTGAACTAAAGAGTTAAAGTTATGAGATAAAAAGTTGAAATTACAATATAAAAAGTCACAACTATGAGATAAAATGTCAAAACTATGAGATTAAGTCAAAGTAGTAGCTCTCCAATTCAATCTGAAAAGGAAATATTCATTGAAGATGACCTGAACTAATAATAATCTCAAATTCAGATTATGTTATCCCATCATTCTTCATCATAATTTTGACCTTTTTTCCTATATTTCAACATAATTTCAACTTTTTATCTCAAAGTTTGACATAGTTTTGGCTTTGTTTCTCAGAATTTTGACTTTTTATTAAATAATTTTAACCTAATTTAAATTTTTATTTCACATGACTTTTTATCTCACAGTTTTGACCTTTTATGCTATATTTCAAAATAATTTCAACTTTTTATCTCAAAGTTTGACATAGTTTTGGCTTTGTTTCTCAGAATTTTGACTTTTTATTAAATAATTTTAACCTAATTTAAATTTTTATCTCACAGTTTTGACCTTTTATGCTATATTTCAAAATAATTTCAAATTTTTATCTCAAAGTTTGACATAGTTTTGGCTTTGTTTCTCAGAATTTTGACTTTTTATTAAATAATTTTAACTTAACTTCAGTTTTTGTCTCACAATGATGACTTTTTATCTCACACTTACGACTTTTTATCCCATCATTTTGACATGATTTTTTTTTATTTCATCTGGATTTTGACTTTTTATCACATAATTTTTCTCAAAATTCTGACTTTCTGTTGCATTTTTTGACTTTTTATCTCATAATTTTCACTTTTTAATCACTTAATTTTGACATAATTCTTACTCCTCGCTCAATTTTGACTTTTGCATGTTATCTCATTATTTTGTCTGCTGATCTCTTTTCAGTTATGTTATCTCTATTTTCACTTTTTATCCTATAGTTACAATTTTTTTTCTCATTATCTTTGTTTTGTGATTCGGAATCTCTTTTTATTTAATAGTTTCTACTTTTATTTCATAATCTCAAAATAATTTAGATTTTTTTTAATCCCATCATTCCATCATACTTGACTTTCTATCTCATAATTTTTACATAATTTCAACTTTTTATCTCATATTGTGACCTAACTTCGACTTTATCTCAGAATTATGACTTTTCATCTCATAATTTTCACTTTTTAAGCACTTAATTTTGACATAATTCTTACTTTTCCTCGCTCAGTTTTGACTTTTGCATGTTATCTCATTATTTTGTCTGCTGATCTCATAATTTTCACTTTTTATCCCATAGTTAAAAAATTTTTTCTCATTATCTTGGTTTTTGTTTTGTGATTCGGCATCTCTTTTTATTTAATAGTTTCTACTTTTATTTCATAATCTCAAAATAATTTAGATTTTTTTTTAATCCCATCATTCCATCATACTTGAGTTTCTATCTCATAATTTTTACATAATTTCTTTTTATCTCATACCGACTTTATCTCGGAATTATGACTTTCATCTCATAATTTCGGCATTTTGACTTTTTATCTCATCTTTTTAGCATTTCATTCTGTCATAATTTTGACTTTAATCTCATATTTGACATAGTTTTGACTTTTTATTTTGTGATAATGACTTTTTATCTCTTTGATTATGACTTTCCCTCATGACATCAGCTTTTTATCTTATAATATTGACATTATTTTGAGTTTTTATCACATTGTTATCACAGCTGACTTTTTATTTAACACATAATACAAAGAACACACAGGTAGAGATGTTTATACAATTTATATTATTTTTAATTATATTCATTTGTATTCTTAACATTGTCATGAAATAATTGGTCAATCACAGTTATTCATTATTTTATTCATATAATCCTGGTACATCAACAATAAAGTTACATATGATTAAATAAACAAAAGCAAAAATTTGGAAGAGGGGAAAAAAGGGGGGAGTAAAGTTCATGACAATCTTTGAACAAATCTGTCTTCTTTCAATTGTAATCTTGCTGTGATTTTCTCCATAATAAAGACATTTTTCAGCTGTCCCTCCATCGCGTAATGCTGGGGGTTGTTATTAAAAGCAGAATTCTCAATAAAGAGATTAAATCATTATCTGTTGTATTTTCCATATTTATACCCAGTATGTAAAGTGCCAGCTCTAAAGGGAAATTAATACCCAAAACTTGTTTAATCTCCTTTGGAATATTCTTTCAGAATGTCTGCAGTTTGGGGCAATCCCAAAATATAGGGTGTAAAAGTACCTAATTTTCACCTTCCAATCAAATTTTAGTTAGTTATCTTATGTCCTGCTTCAACAGTATATCTGTTTACAATTTTTGACACCCATATTGTTGTTATTATTACATTCATGTTGAAGTGCTTTATTTTTATTTTTTTTAAATAACCTCTCTCTTTGTCTCTGCCTCCATACTGTACTATCAGAAATGGGCTTCCATACATTTGGTTAGAAATTTTGTCAGAAATAAATTGACAGCAGTTGTATTTGTATGTTGTCGTCGATCGTTGACATGGTGGCACACTCCTGAGCTGCGATGTTGTGATTTTACCTTCAGAAACAGGTCAAGCGGGTGAAGGTCCGCTGGTGTCATGTAATCCCACTCATAGATGAGACCACCAGAAGCCGCAGGCCCATTTTGTGCTCGCTGCTCATCGTGATTGCCTCTGAAAGATCAATCAGCCCTTCGCTGCACCGCTCTGCCTTCTCCTCGCCGACACGCATCACATAAATAAACTCAAATTACTGGACGCGCTGTCCGTTTTCTGGCTTGTTTTCTGGCTTGTCTTCTTCCCCGCAGGAACGCCGGAAAAAGATGGTCAGTTTTTCATAATCGCTCCATTTCACCAAGTTCACACCATTTTCTCAGATACAAAGGGTTGTGATTGTGCTCCGCCAAACACCGACGTCCATTTCCAAGACAAATACTCATGTTTTCTTCATATTTCTGAGGTAATGGAGAGGCAACACAAAGCATTAGCTGCAGCTCACAGTGTGTATACCGACATATTAAAGATCCAGCCTTTTCTTTTTACCTCTTTCACACATCCACTTTGTCCCAAACCACTCAGATATTACACATATCAGAAAGCCATTTCAAACATTTAGCTTCTAGACTGTTGTGCTTTGTTCCATTAGTTCAGTCAGCAGCCCTGAAAGTGGAAAATAAAGCTTTCAAACTGGGGAAGTCAACACCTGTAAACATAAAGTAGAAACGGCGAGTGTTTTCTTATAGTCTGGTTGAGTCGAGATTTTGGTGGAATGATCACAACTGTACCGCTGTACCGCAATCTACCTTTTCTTTTTTGATACGTCCTTCCCTCAGATTAGTATTTGTGCTTCATATACTCAGTTCACGAATTTGTGTCAATAATTTGTACTTTCTGGTTTCTACTCTTGTGCTCTCAAATTATTTGCCAGCCGAAGAATTGAATCAACATTGCGATTTAACAGCGAAAACATGAAACTCATTCGTGGATTTCTGTCAAGGCTAAAAATAAAACTGCATTAAAGGAAGGAGATCCGTAGTGTGAGTGTGAGGGCGATGAGGATACATGCAATAAAAGTGCAACAGTACAGTTGAGGAAATCACTGAAACATTGTCTTTTTATGAAAAAAGAAATCATGAGTCTTCTGAAATCAGATCAAGTACTGAATGGGAGTTTTGGGGGCTCACAGTCAGACAGGATTTACACAATTTATTTCTGCGTACTCTTCTACATGTTGTCTTCCTACAGAAATCATGTGTACAAAGCACTAAACCCTCAAATCAAGTTGAGAAGCATCATTCGATCGTGACAAACTACACATCTTTTAAACCTTAAAATGACGCCACCAATATCACTGATGGTGTTTACCAATTTGTCAGAGTAGATACAAACCAGAACAGTAAAAAACAAATAGAAGCAAGGAAAACCCTTACACGTTTACCATGTTTGTGCCTCCATAAATGTGATTATCACTCAAACTAATTCTGACTTCTTGATTGTAAACTGGACCAGGCTCATGTCTTTAATCAAAAGGGTTCAAGGACAGAAACCATTTCATTTTGGGAAAGCATTAAACCTCTTAATAAGACTTCTTTTTAGGCCTGCCTACTTGAATTTACTTAATCTTCATTTTAGCTTTTTGCAATTATTATTATTTGATTTGAATTGACTTTTGCTGCTACTGTTCATACTTTGTCTGATTTTATATAATTGTTTTTTCTTATTTAACATTACATTAACACTAGCATGCTGCTTTTATAAAGCTACATCTTGAGTTTTTTTATGTATGCGTCTATATTTTAAATGGCTAAAGTACTCTTCTGTTTGTGCCCAGTGAACCTTCAAAATAAAATAAAACCACTTGCATAACATGCGTTACACGTCTCATCTTTTATATTAATGTATTTCTTTATTTATGTCTCTACAAAACAAGTCCCCAGGAAATATAATGGAGTATGGCTGCTTTTATTTAATAGCAAATATATATTATATAAAATGAACCTTACTTGTTCTCAGGTACAGTACAAAGATAAATTATAAATGATTTCTTTACTTTACTGTGTCTGACTATTAGTAACATTTTCAGGTGTTGACGTATCTTTTATTTTCTATATGTATAATCAAAATAAGGCTATTGACTTAATACACAGAGTCAGTGCAATCAACACGGGCTGTACAGTTCTTCCCTCTTGCACTCATCATGCACCATTAATACAATAAAAATTATATATAATATAATAATGTGCAGCGAGGCCGTCGTTCTGTCTGCGTACATCACTAATAGACTCTGTCTGCCTCTTCGTCTTCATCTGCCTCAGTTATTCCGTCTGCTTTGACTTCTCACTCTCCTCTTTAACCTACATAAGAAAATTAAAATCCTATAATTATCTTCAATTAACAGAAAGAGGGACATGCAGTGATTAAGGAAATCAAGTTCAGGGACTATTTTCATTATCTGAGCTCCCCCAACACCAGCTCCCCCCTACATCCCCCACATCCCTATTTCTTTAACGTTCACCTTTAAGCTCGCTGAACTCATTTTAATTAACATTTTTCCTCTTTTGTTCCGGATCCACTTGGAGAGATGACGTCCATGAGTGTGACTGCGTTAGGTAAACAGCTTTCTGGACAACATGGACAGACGAAAGACAAGCTGCTGTTATGCCCCACCCTTAGTCACTCCAACGCCGACCCAAACCATCCACAGAAAAACACCTTTAAAACAACCAAATCCACGGGATTTACTAACATAAAAGACCAGCATCCCTTCTGATGCTGACACAGGAGCTTTTAAAGACAGATGTAGCACAGCTGGGGCAGAACTAGAGGACAGAAGAGGACAAGCGACACACAGCGCAGGGAAAACACATACAGCCCTAACACATTGGTGTTACGTTTGTTGGGTGACATGGGGTTGACAGTTGAGCCAAAATTCTTACTGCTGAATCATTAATAGCTGCAAACATGTAGGTCTGGATGTGAAAATATCAGGTAATGTTTGTCTTATTATTATTATTAATATATTATCATATGTAGCCAGTTTGCTACAATTACGCTTTGCACAACAGCTGCGGATGTGTTTCGACCTGACCTTTTTTTTTCTCTGTGAGTGGGAATAAGTTGCGTGGCGCTGCTGAGAGCCCCCAGCTGCAGTAGTGCATGGATCATGCCTAAAATGAAGCTTAGCACCCATGATTATACACAGGATCTGTGGTGATACAGAAATATAGAAATTAATGACAAAAAAGCAAACTGTCAATATTTTGGAGACCCCCCCACCAAAATTTTACAAACCATGCTTTCAGGGGAGATCATGTCTTATTCCATCAGTCCGTTGGCCCTTACTAAATGTACCTTGTACAGATTTTAGTTTCTGTGTGAGCTTCACTGGAGCTCAGTTTGAATAAAAACTGAGATGCCAGTGAAAAGCTCTGGAAAAAGCTAATAAGTGGGCCTTGAGTTATAATGTGTTTTGTGACTGTAAAAGATTGATTTTTACAGTTTGCTGAAATGAAATGAAAACAGTCTGTGTTTCAGTGTTTTGGTTGAAAACTTTCTTCAGTTATTGAAAAAGACAATTTGCAGACAGTTTGTCATTCCAGGCTTCTTTCAGCAACACACTGTGCTTACTGTGTCAAAGGAACTGACTGTAGGATTTTAATTTCAGAGCAGAGAAAGCGAGCAGTTGTTGTTTTTGTGCTTAAACTGACAACGGCGTCACTGTGGCTTTTTTTACTAGATGCACAGCAGAAACTAAAGAGGAAGGAGCTGCTGTCAATAATCTGACTGGTAGTACAGTGTGAGGAAGCTGCGAGTGGTTATTTGTCTGTCAGCCAAGAAATTCACAGTCAGAATCAGTTTTCTGCCAAGTATGTGCACATACAAAGGATTAATCTGGAAGACATGCTCACCATGGAATAATACACAAGTGAAAAACAACAGCTGGCAAGCAATTATGCATATGTCTGCATAAACCAAAGTTTCTAAATACAAGATATTTTGAAAATGGACATTTTCACCTCAGCATCAAATTTTGTTATCCTTGAAGGACTTCTGGAGATATTCCATTTAAGTTTGCATGTAGGGAAAACAATAGACAACCTTCAAATATAGTAGAAACACAAATGGATAAAGCTGACTGCAGCAGTATGTACAAACATGTAATGTAGAGATGCACTGATTAAACACCCGGTGTGCTTTAGATTTTAATTACACCCTCACACGGCTGTTTCCAGTTATTTTGATTGGACCTCTGTTCAGCTTAAAGATGGGTGGAGCTGTGCGGCCACCACAGGTCACAAAACCTCATGAACTAACAGAACCGCTGTTACCTTTATTGCACCTGTTGTGTTCAGACAACTGTGACCTTTCTCTTTCTTAAGTACTCCAGCTTTGTCACACATTAAAAAGCTGAAGTTAGTTTAAATAAGGTTCCCCCTTCAGGAATAAATCTTGTTTCTCCTTCTGGCCAAAGGCACACTTGGTGTCAGCAGTTTTCTTCCCTTTATTAGATTACAGTGATCTGCTTCTTATAAATGCAAATGTGAAGTCTCTAACGGCATCTTCAAATCTATAATTGAATCAGTGGGTGAGTTGGAGTAAACCTGTTGCGTTTTTCTTGTAAGTTTGGTTACTTTTGACACAGGAAAAAAATGAAAAGGAACCAAAATGCATCAATAAAAGCAACATGAGAACGTTGCTATCCGCCCAAAGAAAGCAAAGTAGTTTGTTGCTAGTCCAGGTCAGACCTGGATTCAGTCTCGAGCAGCGGTTGGTTTCGCTAATCTGCATCCCTGCATGCAAAGCACACACACCAGGCCAGTGGTATATTATTGTATCAGTCTTCTTATAATGGACTGTACTTTTCTAAAAGCTTTTTTTAGATTGTAGTTTAGCTCTTTGGACCGTGACAGATGTTGGCCTTTCAAAAGCACAAATCCTCAGAGGGAGGCTGCCATCGCCTGAGGATCCTGTACCAGCAACATGAGAAGCTACAGTCAGCAACCTCAACCCTACAAGCTTTGACAGACCCATTAAAATATTTATGCATTAATCATGAGACAAAGCTTGATTGAGCCATTGCAACGACAAGTTGTCTTTTATTTATCTGCACACACAAATGTTATAATATAAATCTAAACTAACATGGCCTGCACGCTTGAGATGATCTGCATTGTTTTGTTTTATGTTCCCAGAGTTTGGAGATGATCTAGAAATTGCTCTCTTGATGAATACCTGTAGTGTGTTAGTTTTACTAATTAGTTTTGTTTGGATGTCTTTTAAAAACTCGTGCCTGTATTTTTTCAATCTGTATATTCGGCATGGGATTTTGTAGTGTGAAAGAGTTGTCTGTCTGTACTTATTGTGGTAATCTTACACCTTTAAAACTTTTTTAAAAAGTGGAAAAACAGACAGCAGACGAAGACGTCCAATCAGGTATCCTGACCTGACCCGATGTCGAGGTGTATTTCAGTTTTATCAACAGGATCCACAATGAAGTTGATGTAAACGAACCTAATCGGATCAGATATGTGAAAATTTAAACTTCACATCAGGTTTAATAGTTCAACGACCGTGTGTTTTTTAATAATAAGAACTATAACAGAATATGATTATTTATCCAGCGCGTTGGATGTGACAGGTACTGAGAGGAGGCAAGAGTGGATGTCATGGTCCAATCAGGGAGATACCCACAGCTGCTGGGTGTAATCATGGGAGTGAAGCAGCACAGTGCAATTTGCCTAGGAGAGCTGAACTGACAGTATTCAATTTAAAAAAGGTATAAAATCAGCACCCTGGTCCCCTTTTTTATGCTTCACTGAACAAGTTGAACTCTTGCGCCAACAAAGTCCAAATCCCCAGCCTCTGGGTGGGAGTACATGTGCACAAAAGGAAGATGAGGGGGGTTGTGTGCAGTGTTGACTACAACCCTGTGGAGAAAATGAATGTCTATACCAAAGTAATACATAATATACATAATACATCCAACCTCTGCTGAGATATTTCTCTCTTGAGCAAAGAGGCGGACTGTTGACTGACCACGAGCAATGGTGCCATGCTTAGTACTGCTGAAAACAATGGAGACTATTGGGCTAAATGTAACCAAGCAGAAATTCAACCAGAAAGACAACAAGCTGCCAAACAACAACAGTTACGCAGCGCCTCCATCTGGTAAAGAATGTGTGTGAATGGAGGAAGCGTTTTGACGAGTCCGGGTCGCGCTAGCAGCAGGCTCAATAAAGCATCCCAGACGTTCATCTCTCCAGACGTCTCCCAGTTCCTCCTGGGGATCCCGAGGCGATCCCAGTCCAGATGGGATATCTAATCCCCCCCCCCCACCAGAGTGTCCAGGGTCTGTTCCCAGTCTCCTCCCAGTTGGACGTGTCCAGAAAAACCTCCACAGGGAGAAGTTCTGATCAGATGGCCAAAACCCTCGACTCAAAAAAATAATTTCTTTCAACATGAGGGAGCAACGGTTTTACAGTGCAGCTTTTATTTATCTGACTTTCATTCATATTAATTTATGTACATGTTTTATATATTTTTCATTTATTTAGACACGTGTGATGAACTCACAATATATTGGAACATTTTTCAGGTTTTGGTTTTCTGTCTCTACCTAATTTACCTAATTGCTTTATTTTTTCTGGTTGAAAGTTCATTCTTAACTTCAGTAAGTGTTCAAATTTCCATTTATTTCTGAGAATCTTTTGGACTTCGTGCCCACATTGTTGATGCCAAACGTTCGTTCTTGACCATTAAAACAGAAGAAATAATTTTTATTTTATTTTCATTGTTTGGTGTCGTAGTATTTTTGTGTGTGTGTGTGTGTGTGTGTGTGTGTGTGCAGACGTCATGCAGCTCTGACAGTTTGACTTCAGTGTTTAATCTGTTTAATCCTCTCTGCTCTCTGTCCTCGCAGCTTTCCAATCTTATCTTCCTGCTTCATGATGTTTGTTTGGTGATCTCCAGTATTCTGCGTTTCTGATGACAGCTAACATGTGTGTGCGCCATGTGGACTCCACTCCAACTAAATCCTCTTTACTGCTACTATCAGGAAGGTAAATCTGCTCCAGTCATCTTGCATTTGTAAAGGTTGACTGTTTGATTTTATTCATGCAGGTTTGTTTTCCATCTAACTGACAGGGGTGGGGTGGGGTGGGGGGGGGAATTAAAATCTCTGGCAAAATGGCCAAAGCTGATAAATCCAGATAATCTCTTCAGTCCACAGATCTTCAGCTGCAGCCTGAGTCTGCCACACGCTGTAAAAAAGATTTTGGTCTAATATTTAACCATTAAGGGTTTTTGTTATTTGTTATTTCATTTTATATAACTGATCTCTGAGGACTGTTTGTGCAAAAAAAAAAAAAAAACACAAAACAAGAAACTCTTTAGTCTGATTGTCACATGTAAATAATAACAGGGAAATAAATAACTAATGGGATTTTAAATGTGGAATGAATCCCTTGTTGGATTTAAATCAGTGAAGTGCAATGGAATATGTGAAAATAAGAATAACATGAATAAAAAGCCTCAGTATTTGTTCTTGTGTATGAAGACTGGTTGTATTAGTGACTAATTCATCTGTTCATTCACACTTTTATATATATTACTTACATCTGTTAGCTGGTACTTTCCAGATCCTGTAGATTTGTTAATATGAGAGTGTCCTTATCTCATTGTTCCGGCTTCTGCATGATTTGGCTGGTGTAACAACAGTTTCCCCCTGTGCTTAATAAACCATTTATCCATCGATCAGTCTGCTGACTGAAGGACTGTACTTCAGAGGGAAAAAATGCTTCTTCATTTGTGTCTAATTTTACTCTGAATGTGTTGAACCAAAGCATGTAAACATGGAAATCCAAAGTGCAAAAATGTCTTGTTTCCACTAGAGGTCTTGCAGAAGAACTGTGATGTTGTGCCTGAAGCATATCAGACCCTTTGACCTCCTATTTACCTTCTTATAACTATTTACCACCCACTGTTATGCCTGTATCAGGGCTAGCATAGCTCCTAACTCTGTAGAGCTTTCACACATTGCTAGTGCTATGAAATGAATCTGATGTTTTATTACAGAAAGTGTATGAACCCTGTGACCAAAATAGTCAAA